ACGAGGGGACGCCGACCAGGGAGGACGCCGACTCGTCGACATCACCCTGGTTGCCCGGTCGACTCTGTAACTCGGGCGACGGACTTCTGCGGGAGCATGCGAAGGTCGCCAGGATGGTTCTGCGAGGCCGACCTCGGAAGTGGTATCCCAAGGTCGACGTGGCTGGTGGGCGCAGACGCTGGTGTGGAGTCGACCTGGGTGTCTGCGCTGTACACGTGACATGGAAGAGTGCACCAACCAGCTGCGCGCACCTGCGAAGCAAGTGCACCGTTGTCCTGCGAGTGCAACGCTGTGCAGCTAACTTTCTACAGCGTTGGCACGCCGTGGACCTGCAACGTTGGCAAGCCGCGACTTTGCTCTGCTGGAGCGCGGTCGACCAAGTCGTGCTGGCACGTGGTCGACCGTGCTGCGCTGGAGGTCGACCAGCAGCTTTGCTAGGTCTGATGTAGTCTTGCATGCCAATGTTGTTTCTATCATTGTTGTCAACTTTCCTTAGTGAAACTCTTGCCAAATTGCCCCGTGAACTAGCAAGCAGTGTGTGCACTAGGAAACGACTAAGTGAACGAACGCAGAGATCACACGAGCACCCGTGCCTAGCCCGTAGTCTAGCTCCTGTTACTAGAGTTATCTCCGCAGTCCTCGACGGTAGCGTCGACCATTTCAAGCAGTTGCGCACCCAAACAGCCTGCCGCAGGGCGAGGTGCCACTAGTGGTGCAGCACACCCATATGTAGCAGCATCGTTCGCATGGCCTCGATGACCGTGCGCATCTCCCGCTCCGCCATGCCATTTTTTTGCGGGGTGTACGGGCAGGTCAGATAACTACTTCCGTTTGTTGTGAATGGGATGAAGTGTTGTCCATACTTGGGCACGAGTTAATCTTATGGAGCAAGTTATTCTGTTGCATGTTCACTAACTTCTAGTTCTTTTTGTGCAGGAGTGGTATCGGCCTGACCTTCTTCAGCTTTGTCTAGGCCGTGCTCCCCACCCTATTCCGCGTGTTGCCCTGGCGACATCTGCTGTATCCCAACCTTCTCTCACGTTCCAGTTGTTAAGTTGTGTTATATACCCTGCTTGCTATGTGTTCTAGTGTAGCTACAGTAACTTGTTGGTGGTGCACCACTCTGCTCAATTTCCCTTGAACTATATCATGTATCTTGCTCATTAGTGTAAACCCACTTCCTTCCTGTTTCTCTCGCTCACGCTACTCTCTTACTCTAAAACCCTAGTCTACTAAGGTGACTATTCTAACATGGTACAGAGCAGGTTCCTCTAGAGGACCTAATTTTTTCCTTAAAGACATGGCTGCTGCAGCACCCGCTAAGGCGCTCTGACGCCTACCCATCCCGTCCCGTCGCGCCTGCTGCCCTGCTCGTTCGCCGCGGCGCCCGATTCCCGTCGCCGCGGCGCCCCTTATTCCCGTCGCCGCGGCGCCCGCTTCCCATCGCCGCGGCGCCCAGCGTTCCATCGCCGCGGCGCCCCCCTTCCCATCGTCCGCGACCCCCGTTTCGTCGCCCCGCGGCCCCCCTCGTCGCCCCGCGGTCCGCGCCAGCGCCAGCCCGTGCGACTGCCGCCAGCGCCAGCGCGGAACGCAAGCGCCAGCGCCACCGACTCGAAGCGTACAGACTGACTCCTTTGCTTGTGGAGGAGGGCAGGTTGGTGGGAGAAGCAGGCTTCCCGCTCACACGACTAAGAATTTCGGTGCTCTGTGTGAAGGGGCAAGGTGCCACACTAAGGCAGCTGCGAGCAGAACTGAAGGGGCCAGTTGAGCAACCAAAGCAGCAGAAGAAGTGGGAGCAGGAGTATGGGAGACAAATTGACTGGAAAAGTGCCATACGAAAACGGGACACTTTGGTAACGCCGGGCAGAGCAAGGGAAATTATTTTGCGACTACACTGCAAAAACCTCCAGGTGGGAGACAGACTGCACTTCATGAAAGAGCATATCAGCTGCCCACACTGCAAGGAGGATGAAACCCTTGCGCACTGTCTGCTCGAGTGCGAAGCGATACAGCCTGTCATTGGCGCGCTAAAGGGGGCACTGAAGCAGATGAATCCAAAGCGAGAGGTGGGAAGGTTGGAAGACTTCCTGTTTGCGGAAGATGGCACGAAATCGATTTCCCGGAAAAGCCGCTGATAGCAGTGACATTTCACCAGGTGTGGCTGGAGAGGTGCGAGGCAGCCTTTCGGCAGGACAGGTTTCAGCCTTTGAGGGTGCTTCGGAGAATCGGCGTGAACTTCATGAAGCATGTCAGGATCTACAACGCCCACAGAAAACACGTGGCAAACAACAGCAGGCAAGGAGATGCGCAAAACTGGGCCTTTTTGGAGCGGGACGAGGCTGTAATGCTGAGCCGGATTTTTCAGGATGAGGACACGCTGACGTGGAAGGATGGCTTTAGATCGGTGTGGTCGAACCCGAGAACAGCCTTCCAACCACCCTAGGATGTTATTGGAAGGGCAATGTTGACTCCCTGTCTCCTAGGCCCCTTCCCCCCTCCCAGTTACGACTGTGGATGTACCCACTTTTATAAGTGAAATGCATCCTTAAAAATATATATATATATATATATAAAAAAAAAACGCCAGCGCCTGCGCCACTGTCACCGCCAGTGCGGAACGCTAGCGCCTGCATCAGACGCGAAGCGCCAGCGCGGACGCCAGCGCCAGCAGCTCCGTACGCCCCCCCCCCCCCTCCCCCCCTTCCCTTCTGCGGCTTCTGCCGTGTGGGGGGAAGGGGAGATGTGGGGGTGGCGGGTGTGATCAGCCAGCAGCCTGTCCCTCCCCTCTCTCTTCCTGCAGGGCTTGTCGCCGTAGAGAAGGGGGGGGGGGGGGGAAGAAGTGGAAAAGGGTGAGGGGGTGGCGGAAGTAGAAAGGTGCGGAGGGTGTGAGGTTCAAGGGGTTGAGTGACAAGGGGGGTGAGGACTTGGGGGTTATTAACGGGGGGGGATCCCTATGAGCGTGCGCGCTCATGCCCACCTAGCCCACCTTCTATCCCTTTCCTCTCTCACCTCCCCCTTTGTAAAAGGAGGTTTGTAAGCAGGTACCCCGGGCATTGAGCGTGCGCGCTCATGCACGCCCCCCACCTCCTCTCCTCTTCTCTCCTCTCCTCTCGCCTCCTCCTCCTTCCTTACCTTTCTACCCTCTTCCGCTGCGCCACGTGTACCTGTACTAGTTCTCACGGCAAGCAGGTTAAGGGGGTGTGTTAAGTTGTGTTATATACCCTGCTTGCTATGTATTCTTTGTAGCTACAGTAACTTGTTGGTGGTGTCAGAATCCCAACCACTAGACCATTGGGATAAAAGGGCTTGTTAAGTAGCGGGTCAGTGCGCCCATAACCCCCCAGGCCAACATGCCTGTAACCCTTCCCTAGGATCAATCGGGGATCACCAGTGGACTTCTGACACCCCCCCGCACTGGGATGCCCGAAGTGCACACACTGGGATTCGAACCCGAGACCTTCGCTCTGATACCATGTCAGAATCCCAACCACTAGACCATTGGGATAAAAGGGCTTGTTAAGTAGCGGGTCAGTGCGCCCATAACCCCCCAGGCCAACATGCCTGTAACCCTTCCCTAGGATCAATCGGGGATCACCAGTGGACTTCTGACAGGTGGTGCACCACTGTGCTCACTCTCCCTTGAACTATATCATGTAACTTGCTCATTAGCGTAAACCCACTTCCTTCCTGTTTCTCTCGCTCACGCTACTCTCTTACCCCAAAACCCTAGTCTACTAAGGTTACTATTCTAACACCAGCCTCTAGGTTCTTCGACTCTTGGCCAAGTTGCTTGTGCCCATCCTCCTGCCGAGCTGCCTTTTTCCTCAACTCTCTGAGGTCCAATGTATGCAGAGTTTGAAGACGAAGCGATGGGTACGGTGAGAGCTGTCATAAAAAAATCATCGGGGAAAAATATTTCTTAGGAATATCTAGTTCTTGAACCGTATTAATCAATTGTTGTTATCATATTACCTGTGCGTAGGGGGTTGATTTGTTAGGGCGCGGTGCATTTGGCGCAAATCCCGAAGTTTGTTTTTTTTTTTAATTCGATTTTATCTTTTTTTAAGCTCGATTGATTGGTCGAAAAGTTGATTTCACGAGGTTCGAGCCACGGGGCCGATTTCTGGTAGGTCAGAATGTGACCAGCGAGGATCGAAAAATGAGAATCGACCCTCGTCGAGCCGTGATAATCAATTTAGGTTACCCGATTAACCTACGTGGCTCTAACGTCTTTCGTCGTGTTCGTGAAGCTGCTAAAATGACCACGTTCGTAAGCACGGCTCGAATGCACGTTGAACACGCGGTCGACTGACTGTCTGGTTACTTGACTTACGAGTCAGTATTCGAACATTGACCTGGTTTCTTGCGAAGACTATTACGACATTCAAGAACTCAGTAACCAGCTCAAGCTCGACCTGTTTTCTGAACTAAGCACCGCGCCCTACAGCTCTCACCAACCAGCAAGTCAAAGCAGGTCCATGCAGTACCAGAAATCTAGGTTAGCGCGGTGGTCATAGTAGCAGTTTGCCGCGAGCTCACGCTGCATCGCTGCGCTGGCAGGCAGGCAACCCCAACGACTAGCCAGCGAGGCACGGGGATATGACCTTTCCCAGCCAAGCGAGTTGTAGTCGTTACTCGTCCACACTAGCTAGCCACCCCATGGAGAGCTGCCAGGCTCAAGTCACGATGGGTGTACAAGTAGGAACGACGAGGCGAGGCATCCTTTCGTTGCATGTTTGCGAATCGATTCACACCGAGCTTCTCGTGTTTTGTGCTGCCGCGGTCACGCGCTCGCTTGGAAGCACCAGTTTTCAATCTCGTAGGGCTTCGAACTTCCACGAACCGAGTAGATGGTAATCACGTCTCATTGGGGGAGGCCGCGCAACGCGGCGGTCTCCCGCCGTGCACGGCATGCGCATGCGCCGCCGATCCGCTCAGCCCGCCTCGGCTCGCACACGCGCGTCGCGTCGCGCACGGCGCACGCGACGCGCTTACGGGCGATGGGGAGGGGCGTCGTGGCGGCGAGGGCGGCGGTGTTGGCGCTGGTGGTGGCTGGCTGCTGCGCGCCCTTCGCACGGGCTGTGCCCGTGGTGGACCCCGACAGTAAGCCTTGGTGGCAGCAAGGCACGGGAACATCCACCTAAATCATTGCTGGTGTGATGTCGACGGCCGTGCTTCGTTGGCCCATCCATGCTATTCCGTGCACCTGTCGCATTGCAACTTGCCTCCAACGTAATTTCTCTTACTGATTGTTCCTCACATGACGGCGGAATATGTGGCATGGTACGTCATGGCATGGCACGGTGTGGTAACGGGCATGCGATGGCATGGTGGATGGCATGGTGGATGGCATGGTGGATGGCATGGTGGATGGCATGGTGGGTGGATGGCATGGTGGATGGCATGATGGGTGGATGGCATAGTGGATGGCATGGTGGGTGGATGGCATGGTGGGTGGCATGGTGGATGGCATGGTGGATGGCATGGTGGATGGCATGGTGGATGGCAGTGGGCGTGGTGGCGGAGCTGGCGGCGGTATGGAACAGCACTGCGGCGTGCAAGACGTGGATCCGCGGCAGGGACTGCGACACCTTCACAGGCCTGCGCTGCAACGCACAGGGGCACGCCGTTGCCATGTGAGCCCAGCAGCACCACTCCATGCATGCACGCCTGCACGCCATCTCCCGCCATGGCATCTGCCCCGGGCTTGCCATGTCAACGAGTAGCGCACGGCGCAGCAGCAGAGCGCGGATGTGCCGTGCTGGGTACACCCCTGCTCCGCGCTGCATAACACACCCGCGCCTCGCCTGCGCTCACTCCCCCACTGCCAACCCCTCCCTCACCTGTTGCTCCCATCCCGTGCGTGCCCGTGGCAGTGACGTGCAGGGCGTGAGCACCATACCCGAGCGCATTGTGCAGCTCGAACACATGACGTCGCTGTGAGTGGCACTGCTCTGTGTGCTTTGCATACCTCGCATGGGTATGGTACGGCGGGGTGTGATATGCCACGCATTGCTGGATGGGAATGTGGAGCTGCTGTGCGAAGCGGTTAGCATTCAGTGTTGTCTGGCGTTCAATACCCAGTTCAGTCGGTTGCTCTCACATCCATCCATCCGTCCATGCATGCATGCACCACACGCTCGTTCCTTCACCTCTCCATGTTCCTCATTCCTGCACTTTCCAATGCCCCTTCCATGCGCCTCCTCTCCCCTACTCCGCGCCACCCCTGCGTGTGTGCAGGAGCATCACACAGAGCCGGTTGGGCGGCAACTTTCCCCCCGCCATCCTCTCCATGCCCTCCCTCAAGCACCTGTGAGCCATCCCTCGCCCCCTGCTCTCCATGCCGCCTTGCTCGCCATGCCGCCCTGCTCGCCATGCCGCCCTGCTCGCCATGCATGCTGCGCCCATGCGGCATTCTCCAGCAGTGCGGCTCCAACCAGCAGCCGCTGTCTCCTCACGCCGTTACACACCCTTGTGCTTGCTTCATGTGCGTGGAGCGGTGGCCATGGACGCACCTGCATGCATATGATATGACCGCCATGGAATGTTGCCATGGAGGTTCGCCAATGCTGGGGTGCGGGGATGTGTGCATGCGTGGGTGAATGTGCGGTGCATGTGAGCAGGAAACTGTCAGCGTGCTTCCTGCATGGGCCATTGTGGTGGCACTTCAACCAGACCAATTCAAGTGCGCTGGAAACCATGTGAGTCACGTGCGCCCTGCCCCCGCGCACCCCCTTTGCCGTGCATTAGCCCCAGTCAGTCACCCAGCCTCTTTGCCCCCCCTCCCTCGCACTTCCTCCCTGCCATCCGTCTCGCCTCGACCATCCTTGCCCGAGCCATTTCCTCGTCAAATTTTCACTCTTCCCTTGCTCTCCCACTCACACACCATGCCATGCCATGCCATGCCATGCCATGCTTGCCATGGCGTGTAATTCATTCAGCACATCACAAGTGTCTGCGCGATTTATTGTCACTCAGACAAAACTCTCATGTGTCGCACACCTGCATCATGCGTCGCACACCTGCATCATGCATCGCCCATTCCATGTGGTGTGAGCAGCAACCTGAGTACCAACATGTTCTTCGGCCCCATTCCAGATGCCATTTCCCGAATCACCTCGCTCAGGCACCTGTGAGCTCTCTTCCCCCCTCTCTTTCTTCCTACCACTTTGTCCTCTCCGTGTCTCCCTCTCCCCACACCCCGTTCTCTCCCGACCCTTCTTTCTTCTGCGTCTCCCTTCTCCCCCACCCCCTGAGTCGGTTTAAAGGAGCTCGCTGCCTTGGTCCTGCATCGTGTGTCTGCGAGCAATCACTCGCCGCCACGATTGTCACATCTTGATCATGCACGCTTACTCTCTTTCAACTCCTCCCACATGGCATTGTCCCTCGTGCACCCATGTGTGCACCTTGCCGATCACAATGGCCCATGTCGTGTTCATGCATGCCATGCCTTGCACCCATATCTCCACCCACCCTGCGTTCCCAACCCCCTGTGGGTGCACCAGCGATCTGAGCTACAACATGCTGTCAGGGAGGGTGCCAGCCGCAATGGGCACCCTCAAGGACCTCACTTCTCTGTGAGTGCCCCGCATGGGTGGGTGCGTGGGTGGGTGCGTGGGTGGGTGGGTGGGTGGGCGGGTGGGCGGGCGGGTGGGCGGGCGGGCGGATGGATGGATGGATGGATATGAGAGCAACCGACTAAACTGTGCATCTAACGCCACACAACACTGAATGCTAACTGCTTGTGTGGAGGCAAGCAATCAATGGGCTAGGCGATGGGAATGTGACGCTGTGTGGACTACAGATGTACGTACGTCCATGGGAATGCGATGGGAAGGATTGACTCTAATGAGATGCGCAGTTGCGCCATGGCACCTGTGCTGGCATCGCCATGGCACCTGTGCTGGCAGCGCCATGGCACCTGTGCTAGCAGCGCCGGGCCTTTCTGCCGCCTGCACTGACGTGGGCACCTCGGTCTCTCATGAGTCATGCGTGGCCCTTGCCTGCTCCTCCATGCCAAGCCCATCCATCTCCTCTCCCTCGCATGCCGCCTTCCCTCCCTTGCGGTGTGTGCACGTCCCTGCAGAGACGTATACATGAATTACCTCGAAGAACTCCCCTCTACCCTCACCGCCATCACTGCCCTCAAGCACCTGTGCGTGCCCTGCCCTCACCTGCTCCCCCTACTCTTCAACACTCTTCAAGGAAATTCACCTGTTGGCACTTCTGCTCAAGTTTATTTTGTTGGAAACTTCACCGCCTTGCACCGCTGTTTCCTCTCACAATCGTCCTTGCTTCTTTCCAACCTTGATCCTTCTGATTCCACGGCCACCCTTCCCACTCCCGCCCTTTCCCTGTGCGGCCATGCCATGCCATGTGTGTGTGTGCATCAGATCAATGGGGGCAAATGAATGGAAGCAGCCCGTTCCTGCGTTTCTGGGCGACCTCAGCAATCTTGAAGTGCTGTGAGTTGAAATTGCACAGTGCGAAAATGAGTGATGGCGAGGCATGCGGAGCAAGGATGATTGACAGGCCATGCACATCCATCACACCCAGTACGTGGTGTGTCATCCCACGTGCCTCTTCTTCCATTACCCCCTTCAGACTTTCCTCATACTCTAATCAACCTCCTGTTGCTGGCATTCACGCGCCTGAACCCCTGTATGGAACATCTCCATGACCCTAGCACACCACTCGACGCGCTCTAAGGCAATCTGGGCTGGGCCCCACGGAGTGTGCTGTGCATGCAGGATGCTGGACTACACGCACATGACTGGCTCCCTACCGTCGGAGTTGTCACGGCTGAAGAAGCTCACCGACTGGTGAGAGCATGCACACTTCACACTTCCCCTTTGGGATTCCGTATGCCTTTACTGCGCTTGTGTGACTGTTACGTGATTGTTTCTCTCTCATCTAATTGCTGAATACATCATGCAAGCATGAGACAATGGGTGTGGCGCTCTGGGTGCCACTGGTTTCAAGTGGCGGTCCGTGTTGTTGGCTGCAGCGTTTCCCATAGTAACGAGCCCCTGCCACTCCCTCTCTTGCGCCACCCCTCCCTCCATGCCCCTACCCTTGCGCAACGCGCTGCCAGGCACATGACGTATTCATGGTGGGCCGGGCAGCTGCCAGAGTGGATAGGCAGCATGACAAGCTTGACAGTCCTGTGCGTGCTGCCCTGTAACGTGTGCCATGCCATGCCATGCCATAGTGCTCAGTTATCGTGCACCAAGCACCATGCATGTACCATACACGACGTGCTATGCACCATGTACCATGCACCATGTGCCATACCGTGACTTGTTTTAGCCGTCATGGAGTGTGCCTTGTATCACGGTCTTCTTGCACTCATCTGACAACCCGCACGTCATCCCCACCACGGCGGTGTCTGCACGTCTCTGCATGCCATGCCTGTGCACCATGCATGCACCATGCACTGTGGATGCACCATGCACCATGAATGTGCACCATTCATGCACCATGCACCATGCATCAGGAACTTTCACCGCAGCTACATCAACAGCACCATCCCAACAGCCATCGGCAACCTCAGCAACCTCGCCCACCTGTGAGTGTGCCTCGGGGCATGTGGGCCTGCTCTCTCGGATCATGGTGGGCTACGTTGCCATCGTCCAGGTGCCTTGAAAGAGCATCTCTTCCCCCCTCCTCCCCTCCCGCTTGCCTCTAAACTTCATCCATACATGCATGCACCTGATCCTTCTTCGCCTCCTGCTCCTCCGTCTCCTTCTTCTCTCTGCCCTCATCCTCTGCATCCGCTGCTCCTTTCCATATCCCATGCTGTTTCGCACTCTTGTTGCTAACTTGTATTCCCTCTTTGCTCTCTTGTATTCACCTTGTCCACACCACCATGCATCACAATGCTCTCTCCCCACTGGCCAATGATGCATCACTCTATGCCACACCACCATATGCTATTGCAGGCGTCTTGGTCTAAATATGCTCGTTGGGACCATCCCCAGATCATTCGGGAGCCTAACTAACCTGAAAAGCTTGTAAGGAAGGCTGGCACTCAAACAAAATGGTAGGAGGAGGGTGGGCTAGCTTGCAGGTGCAGCTGTTGTTCGGTTCCAATGCGACTACATCGCTCATCACTTACCTTTGTTCCCCGGCAGTGCCAAGGAAAAATCTTTCGTCATGGAGAATGTGTTTTTGTAGCTCACTCACACATTCAGAGCACCTACTGGCGTGCAGAAGCAATGCTATGTTTCATCGGATTGATGAAAATAGAACATGCACATGGCATGAAATGCGACATCGTGAAGCTTACCAATTTGTCATCCCACCCCTTGCATCCCATCCCAACCCATCCCATCGCACTCCATCGCATGTCATGCCACGTCATGCCATGCCATGCCATCTGACTGCAGGGACTTGCAGAGAAACCAACTGAGTTTCAGCATCCCCGCCTCCTTTTCTCGACTCAGCCGCCTCTCTTCTCTGTACACCCACTCTCTCCCGAAGTGTCTCAGGGAAATAACGTCGAGAATTGTGAGGGGTCCGAGGGTAGGAGGTGGAGGCAAGGTGCAAGGGGCTTGGACAGAGTCATGTGTTTCACTGGTTACCACAAACAGGAGTGAGGGGCTGTGTCGGCATGCAAGCCGTTGGGCCACGGGAGTTGCTCGTCAAGTGGGAGTGGGAGTGGGAGTGGGAGTGGGAGTGGGAGTGGGAGTGGGAATGGGAATGGGTGGGCGCGAGCAGATGGTTGAGCTGGCAGACTGCTCGTTGTCTCCACTCCTGTGCGCCCACCATTGCCTCCCGCCAAGACAGGCTCAGTCCTTTCCTTTCTCCATGACTCATAAGAAGTCCACTCGGCATTTCAAAGGATTGTCTTGTTTGTTGTTGAACTGGGTTGTGTCGTGGCCCACCTTGTGGTTGTTATCACCCTTGTGCTCATCGGCCCACCCTCTGTGTATCACAATGCGCTGGCCCTTCCACCCTTGTTCTCCACCAACATGTGCACTGGACAACGCTATTCCATGCTCTGTTGGCATCACAACTGCACCGATTAAATCATGCATACTGTACCACTCCGTGCCATGTGACATTGCAGGGACCTCAGTTACAATGGGCTTTCGAGGCCCATCCCCTCTGCACTCGGGCGCCTCACCAACCTGGGCAAACTGTAAGGGCAAGGCGCACTGGTATGCTGCTATGAAGCATTTTTAGCCTGCATTTGCATTGGCATTTGCATTTGCATTGGCATTAGCATCTTTCTGTCGATGCGAGACCAGGTTGTGCATTCATCCTCACCAGCTTTTGCTCCTTGTTTGGGAGTAAGAAACATAGAATCAAGAACTCAAATCCTTCGATCCGTAAATCAAGGAAGATTCTTCTCCATCTGATCGTGGGCGTGGCAGGAATGTGAAGCGCAACAGGCTGGCAGGAAAGATCCCTACCTCCTTGGGCAGGCTCACCCGGCTCACTTTCCTGTGCGCTCACTCTCCCCTTACCTCTCTCTGCTCATGAAATTAGTTAGGGTTTAGGGGCGCGGTTAGGGTAAAGGGTTCTGGGTTTATTGCAATCGCAACAAGAGGGAGAGGGATGAGAGGGCAGGGAGTGGAGATGCAGGGATTTGGGCAGAGCGCTGTTTAACATGAGTGAGCGTTTGGTTGTGAGGGTCTTTCGTGGATGGCATGTTTCCGCAAGAACACAACTCATAGCATGTGCTTTCCATAGCACCCTAGGTGAGCTCTTGTGAGCATTCTTTTCTTTTGCCCACCTGCAGGGATTTGTCTGACAACCGCCTTGGAAGGACCATTCCTGATGCACTCAGTGCTCTCAGCAATCTTCATTACCTGTCAGTTCAAAGACTCAAGAATATGTTTAACATTGCCATGCACAGAGCTCGCCTTGCCTGGCTTCATTTTCCACCACAACATGCATACGCCCCTCTTTGTGTACCACTGTGAAGGCTTGGTCGTGTGCATGCTTCACATGTGCCGTGTTAGAACACTCCCAATTGGAACATGCTGCGCCAAGGCATGCTTGGTTTGTTGATCTTATTCTGTTCGCCTGCCCACCTGCAGGGATCTATCTCACAACCGCCTTATAGGGACAATACCTGCTGCACTTAGCGCACTCAGTGGTCTTGGCTTCCTGTCAGTGCACCCTCGCCATCATTCCCACACACACTGCCTTGCCCCCCCCATATCTCACTTGTTTCATTTGCTGCACCAGTCGTCCCATTTTCCTCGTATAGCCGCCACTTGTCAGTCAGCTGTTGTTATCGAACCCCACAGTCACCCCTGTGCCTCTCCTCCCCATCCCCCATTCCCTCAGCGATGTAAGCAATAACGAGCTGGTGGGGAGGGTGCCGTCGCTGCGCCTCATGAAGTCTCTGTGGCACGTCGGTGCGGACCACAACTTCCTCACAGGCATTGCAGGCACCTCCCTTGCTGACATCCACCTGCTGTGCAATGACAAGTTCCGCCTCTCTCTGGGATCCAACTGCATGGGCAACAGCACGGTCCTGTGTGGCCGCGCCCAGATACAGAGGAGCAAATATGAGTGCGAGTCCCTCTGCTGGAGCTATGATGACACCCCTTATTGCAGCGGCCATGGTTTTTGCTACACAGATTATGAGAAGATTGGTTGGCAGTGTGCGTGCTATGAAGGGTACACGGAAGGCACGGCTGCTGGCACATGCATTCCTGAAAGCTCGACATGAGCAGGGACTGGGCAGGGGCCGGAATGAGGCTGGCCGGGCTGACGCTTTTGACATGCCGGCCAGAGACGGGCTGGGTCCTGGCCGGCCCGCCAACCCAGGTGTGGCTCTAGCCGCTGCTCAAGCTTCTCTGGTCAGCCAGCCGCGCTGGTGGAAGTTTCGATCCAGGGGTCGGGCCTGGAAGGTGACTCGAGCTGCGTACCTATGTACATGTATATTATCCTCCAAACCAAACCTAGGGGTCAAGAAAAAATGGGGGTGGGGATGTAATGGTTTTTTTGTATGAGGGGGTATGCGAGCCTTTTGTTTTGTTTTGATTAGAAGTGTCCCGAATGCGGTGTTCGCGTGTTATGTCTTTTTTGTTACATGACATGGTGCAGCAAACACGCGAAGAAACGGCGATGTTTTGGGAACAGTATCCTCAGTTTTTTTTTTTTTTTTTGTGAATACCTAAGATTGCGTCCAGCTGCTTGCTGTTGTAGCCTAGTGCATACGGTACATGCTAGAGGATTGCCATTGTTGGCCTAAAAAAGGCCCTTTCGAAGATAGAAAATTGATTTGAAGCATTGTACAGCAGGGCCCTAGATATCAGATTCGTAGTCTGAGGGCGTGTTCCTACGGCCCCTTATCAGGCGAACCTCTTGTCAGATTCGCGTCGCAACGCACTGGAACACATGTAATAACATTCGATCGCACTGAAACGCATGGAACCGCACAAGTATGACAAGAGGTCGGTTGATAAGGGGCCGTAGGAACACGCCCTGATTCAGAGTCCGTTCAGACTTTTTTTGGTGTACCTAGTCTGAAGTCTAAGATTTTTTTTATGTACCTTGTCTGATTTTCCAGAGTTTTTTTTTTACGAGTTGTCTGAAATTTCGAGGAAGTTTCGTTCCGATAACCTTTCATTCAGGTTGGCGGAAACCCCTTTATTACCGTTTCAGAGTGCATCCCCGATACAAGTCTGAGGCTCAGCCTGCACTAAAATAAGTAGTTCTCGATACACCCACGTGCGTACGGGCCAGCACTAACGATTTCCTCCAGAGAAAACTGCTCGAGTAGGGGCACCAGAATACATTACTAATTCGACGCTATCACGAGTGTCGAATTCAATGGGAGCTTATAATAACCCTTAAATTATGAAACTAGATAGCAAATCGCACATGGCCAAAACGATTTTAGCGAATCGCACATGGCGAAAAGCGAATTGGTGCAAACGAAAGCCTCTCGTCACATATGAGTCTCGTACTTTAGCAGAACCGCACATCATTTCCCCTTGCCAAACCGAGTCAAATTTTTGAAGCTACAACTTTAGGAGAAAATATTCCAGCACAGACAAGTGCCGAGCGATACCGTGCCTGCTGCCAGGTCAGCTGATTTGGCACTTGCACGAGGCCATTGTCTGATACCGACACCTCGACCCTGACTGCTCAGTGTTCCTAACTTTTGAAAAATGACCAATCAGAGTGCCCCATTTATGGCAGAAGTGCCTTCAGACTAAAAATCACGGGCGGGAAACCAAATTCTCCCGAGCGCGGCACCGCACAGTTGCGTTGGTTTGCGGTAATCAGCTTCAATGCTATTATAACTATGCTTTTACGAAACTGCTAAAATTTGAAGGTAACTCTGACAATTCAGACAAAAAAGTTGTGCTTGTCTGAATTTTCAGACTAAAATTTTAAGGTGTTATTGTCACAATAGGCTTGAATGTGCCTAAAACGAAAGATAGAGAGCACAGACGGATTTCTGCACAGCGGCTTCAAACATTGATAGCGTTCTGCTCACAGCTGCAAATGACCTGATTCAAATTGGATCTGGAGCGTCTTCACGTCGTCTACAATTAGCAATTTAGATTGCACGATTTGATAAAGAATTGACGACACAGCGTCGGTTTGAACGAACGGTACTATGGCAGCCACTATAGTCTTAGAACACAAGATAGGAAGAGTTACGAATTGGGAATGACTCCCAGCTCCTACAAACCCCAAGAGCCGAGGTACAGTGATGTGGAACAGTGCCACACTGTCCCCAACCACGAAGGGTCTCGAAACTACCCTTCACTAGGGCCTACACCAAGTGAAATGTTACACTACACAAAGTAATGTAACTATCTTCAATATCTTGAGGTGTACCCTTTTTGGCGAGCTTCGAAATCACTTGAGGCTTGACACCAAGGCTCGGGCTCTTCATCACAAACTCATCCTTGAGTTCTTGATGGGTCTGCTGCACACACCTGCGACACGCCGAACGTTCGACACAGGACAAAATAGAAACCGCGCACGACAAAATAGAAACCGCGCGCGAGACACAAACGACCGCGTAACACGCGTCTAGCAATAACTCGCTATTGACTCGACACACACACTCGACATCATGACTCAACATTCACACACAATTATAAGCATGAAATATATATTATCCCATGCCCTCATACCATTCCATACACACACACATTCACGCACACGGACAACAAGCCGAGTGCAAACCGTAGGGTTGCACCAACAAACTCCCCCTCGGATTGTTGGCCTTAGGATATGTTGCTCTCTCAGTTCAGAGCCATCCCAGCCAGCTTGCAACACTTCCAATGCTGCTGCTCCACCAGCCTCTTGGTCATCATGTCAGCCGGCTGCCCCGTGGTCTTCACGTAGCGCAACTCAACTTCACCCGCGGTTACCATGCTCCTCGTCCAATGCCATTTCACCCTCATGTGCTTCGTGAGTCCATGCAACACAGGGTTCTTAGCAAGAGCAATGGCACCCTGGCTGTCACAGTACAGTGGGGTAGGTCCTTGCTGCTCCTCCCCCAATTCAGCCAACAAACGCCGCTGCCACACAATCTCCCGTACGGCACGGAAGAGTGCCATGTACTCGGACTCCACCGAGCTCAAAGCTTGGTCAACCTGCTTCTTGCTCTCCCAAGCAGTTGGGCCTCCACCAACACAGCATATGAAGCCTCCCACACTTGTCATGTCCTCTGGTTCTGATGCATATGAAGCATCCGAGTAGGCGGTGAGGAACAAACGCCCGGGTTCAACACCATCCGCGCCCTTTTGGCGCCTTTGTGCCGCCGCCGAGTATTGCAGCCCAACGGTCGGTGTTTGGCCAAGATACTTGGCCACCCTCATTCCAGCTGCTACCTGCTCCTCATTAGGGCATTGCACAACCCTAGCCAGCTGCCCGGTAGCAAACGCGACGTCCGGTCGGGTGTTTACCGCCGCATACATGAGGCTGCCCACCAACGAGTGAAATCGGCGCCTCTCCTCTTCACCAACGCTCTCCTCCTCTGGTCCCTTCACACACTTGAACCCAGAGGGAAAAGGTGTAGCCACATGGCCTTCACTCTGCCCAAAGTTGGCAGCCAATGCCTCCAGGTACTTTCGTTGATGCACCCGCATGCACCGCTTCTCCACATCTCGTTCGATGTGGAGCCCAAGGTAGAAGCTCACGTCACCAAGGGCCTTGCACTTGAACTTGTCTTGAAGCTTCAGCATCACCTCCTTCACAAGGTCAGAAGAGGGTGAGAAAATGAGGATGTCATCCACATAAACCACCATGAAACTCCTCTGCTCCCCCTCGCCAAGCATGAACAAGGAGTGATCGGCCGTTGAGGGAGTGAAGCCGATCCCCTCCAACACTTCGCGCAGCTTCATGTACCATTGCCTAGGGGCCTGCTTCAGCCCATAGAGGGCCTTCTTCAGCTTCCACACTCTGCCACTACCATCATCAAACCCCTCTGGCTGCGCCATAAAAATCTCCTCCTCAAGGATGCCGTTAAGGAATGCCGTTACGATGTCCATTTGCTTTACTACCCATCCTTTGATGGCGGCTCCCGCGAATAGGGTTCGCAGCGTCGTCGGCTTCACCACAGGGGCAAACAGCTCCTTGAAGTCCACCTTCTCCTTCTGCTGGTACCCCTTGGCTACAAGCCTAGACTTGTAGCGCTCGATCTTGCCGTCGGCATCCGACTTGATTTTGAAGAGCCACTTGGACGTTATCGCCGTACGCCCCTCCGGTAGCTCCACCAATTCAAACGTGTCATTCTCCTCAATGCTCTTCAGCTCACTCTCCATGGCCTTCTTCCACTCCTCAGCATCACTACTCTCCAAAGCCTCCTTGAGAGTTGCTGGTTCTCCCCGCATCTCCACCGGAGAGAAGAACGCGAAGGCACACTCCTCGTAGTCACTCTCCTCGTCGTCTCCGACCATCATTGCCGCTCCGGCCAGGGCTGTCTTGCCCTGATTTCCCGGCGCATCATAGGTCAGCCTATTAGGGGGTTGAACTCTCCTCTTCCCCCTTCCTTCCTCCTCAGCTGCAGGGACTTGAAGGCCTTGGCGTTGCTGCGGTGTGGCTCGAATCCGTGGAGCACTCGTAGTACGGGAAGGGAGTGACGGTGCACGCTCGCTCACTTGCTGCACCTCCTCCTCTTCTTCCTCTGCATCATTGGCCTCCTCTCCCCCATTCACAAGGGAGGATTGCCTTGTGGTTGTGCTGCCGCTGCTCAGCTTCAAAGGCAGCTCCACATGCTCCAAACCGGAACTCTTCACCTCCCCAAACCGCACGCCTATCTTCGCCTAATTCTCCGCCTTCCAATCCTTGTACATGAAGTTCTCCATGAACTTGCAGTCCCTTCTCACCAAGAACTTCTTGGAGAATGGGTCCCAAAGAAGCCATCCCTTGCTGTTTTGAGCCATGCCCAAGTGCACGGCCCACACCGCCTTGGCACCAAGCTTGTTGTGCCGAAGATGCTTAGGCACGAGCGCCATGCACATGCACCCGAACACCCGAAGCATATCCACCTTTGGCTTCCTTCCTAGCCACTCCACATAGGGCACCCATTTTTCTGCTCCCACATGAGTCAAGGCTCTGTTCTTGGCCACACACGCGCTCCGCACCGCATCAGGCCAGAAATAGTCGGGTAGCCCGGCTTCAATGAGCAACCCGCGTGCCGCCTCCGTGATTGTGCGGTTCGCTCGCTCGGCGATGCCGTTCATTGCAGGGGAGTATGGC